ACACGAATAAAGGAGATTGGCTCTGGGAACAAGGTAACTGACCTTCCAAATAGATCTCCTTGGCCACCACAGTCAAGCCATAAAGCTTTACAGCAGAATACACATCTCCGGCATCCAAAGAAACTGCATCAGCTTTATTCTCCTGGGAGAGATTTAAAACGTTTTTAGTTTCTTCTCTACCACCCTTCTGGTCCATCTGGCATCTAGCATCTAATTACAGAAGAACGTCATTTATAGGATGCAATAGTTCAGTGTTTTTCAGCCTTGGCAGTGTGGACTTCAACTCCCAGAATTCCCCAACCTTCCAGGGTGGATGTCTTGTGCCTTGTGACCAGAGGATGCAGTGAGTGTTGGCTGTCTTTTCCTCAGAACTGTTAGCAACAGGAATCCAGAAAAAAAACACAAGCATTTCAGTTTTTTAAGGTGCTCAAGGCTGTTTTTTTTTTGTTATCTGAGCATAACAGTTCAGATAACAATGTTTTGCAATGGTTAATCAGCACCCAACAATATATGAATCCTTTGCAAATGAAGCATGAACACTTCTATAATAACAGGTTACATGTTTTCCTAGTGATCAGGCCACTTCCCCGTTATGGAGTGCTGAGTTTATTCAGCTGCTCCGGGAAGGCCTATTTCTTCCACTTCTGACTACCTTGAGCTCCTGGGTTATGTAAACGAAGACTCAATCATCCAGGCCAAAAGCATCTAAAATGGTTAAATCGTGGCAATTGGACCAAAGTTTATTAAACTGAAATGATTCATTACCCAAGTACCTTCTTCAGTCATGATGAAAAATTTAAATTAGGCAAAGAGTCAGAGAGTTGTTGGAATGCACCAACCCTTGCCATAACAACTGCAGGGGGTTCTCCTCAAAAATGTATTACAAATGTTTTTACACTTTTACATTTGCAATACATTTTTGGGGAGAAACCCCTGCAATTGTTATGGCAAGAGTTGGTACATTCCAACAACTCTCTGACTCTTTGCCTAACTTAAATTTTTGTGACTGAAGAAGTTACTTGGATGAGTAATAAAACATCTCAGTTTAATAAACTTTGGTCCAGTTGCCACAATTTAACCTTTTTAGAAACATCCCCTAGGTTATTTGGCTGAGGGTCTTGTTATGTTATGCTCAGATAACAAAAAATCAATATTGAGCACCTTAAAAAAATTATTATTATTATTATTAATTTAATTTATATACCGCCCTTCTCCCGCAGGACTCAGGGCGGTGCACAGCGTATTAAAAACAGTACAAATACAAAGCATAAAAATACAAACCCCTGTAAAACCAGATTAAAAAACCGAATATTAGAAGCTGTGTCTCTATTTAAAATTATTTTTAAAATCACCCTAAATAAAATCCTC